AGCTACATTCTTCAACAGACTTGACAGCATACAGGCGTCTGAACAGACAGATCTCCAAATGCATGCGGCGGGACTTACGCAACTTCAATACAGCTCGTATTGAAGAAGCGATCGAGCGGAACCAAGGCTCCAAAGTCTTTGCCAGAGATCTGTCTGCCAGAAAGAGCCACCTGTCAAAGCTGAAGACAGAATGTGGCAGCATTGTTACCGGGACACCTGAGATTTTGAGTGAGATTGAGAGGTTCTATGGGCAGCTGTACACGTCATCGTTGGAGCCACACGCAAGTGTGAGTAACGATCCAAGAGCGAGTCTCATCCGACACTATTCCGAAGATATCCCGGACGTCAGTCTGAGCGAGATTAGAATGGCTCTCCAGCACCTTAAAAACGGTAAGGCCCCAGGCGAGGATGGAATTACAGCGGAGCTTCTGAAAGCGGGTGGAAGACCGGTACTTGAAGTCCTTCGGAAGCTCTTTAATTCCGTCCTCCATGGTGGCATTACACCGGAGGCGTGGAGCAGAAGTGCGGTGGTCTTGTTCTTCAAGAAAGGTGACAACGCTCTCTTGAAGAACTACAGACCGATTTCCCTTCTGAGCCGCGTCTACGTGCTGTTTTCGAGAGTCATTACGAATCGTCTCGCGCGCAGACTTGACGACTTCCAGCCTCCCGAACAAGCCGGTTTCCGAAAGGGCTTTAGCACCATAGACCACATACATACCCTTCGGCAAATTGTACAGAAGTCCGAAGAGTACAATTTGCCACTATGTCTGGCGTATGTGAACTATGAGAAAGCCTTTGATTCCGTCGAAATTTGGGCGGTGCTGCAGTCCCTTCAGCGGTGCCAAGTTGACTGTCGGTATATCGAAGTGTTGAAGTGCTTGTACAGTAGGGCTACGATGGCTATCCGAGTACAGAACCAGAGTACGAAACCTATCCAATTGCAGAGAGGTGTAAGACAGGGTGACGTCATATCCCCGAAACTCTTCACCGCTGCATTGGAAGACGTTTTCAAGCTTCTGGACTGGAAAAGATACGGTATCAACATCAATGGCGAGTACATCACTCACCTTCGATTTGCCGACGATATAGTCCTTATGGCAGAATCGCTGGAGGACCTAAGCACTATGCTTAATGACCTCGATAGTGTTTCCCAACGGATAGGTCTTAAGATGAACATGGACAAAACAAAGATCATGTTCAATGTCCATGTCACACCTATGCCGGTAGTTGTTGGGAGCACTAAGCTCGAAGTTGTTGACGATTATGTTTACCTGGGACAAATAGTCCGACTAGGTAAGTCCAACTTCGACCGAGAGGTCAATCGACGGATTCAACTCGGCGGGGCAGCGTTCGGGAAGCTACGACACATTTTCTCGTCAGACATACCTCAAAACCTGAAAACGAAATTATACAACCAGTGCGTGTTGCCAGTGATGACTTATGGAACTGAGACGTGGTCCTTCACTGCTTGCCGTATAAGGAAGCTCAAGGTCGCTCAGCTAGCTATGGAGAGGGCTATGCTCGGAGTTTCTCTGCGTGATAAACTTAGGAATGAGGATATCCGCAGTAGAACCAGAGTAACCGACATAGCCCAACGGATTAGTAAGCTGAAGTGGCAGTGGGCCGGCCATATAGCTCGAAGAACCGACAACCGATAGGGAAGAAAGGTTCTCGAGTGGCAGCCTCGTACCGGTAGGCGAAGTGTAGGGCGTCCCCCCACGAGATGGAGTGACGACCTGGTAAGACATGCAGGAAGTCGATGGATGCAGGTGGCTCAGGACCGTGCTTTGTGGCATTCTTTGGGGGAGGCCTATGTTCAGCAGTGGACTTGTGAAGGGCTGTAATGATGAATGATGATGATATATATATATATATATATATATATATATATATATATATATATATATATATATATATATATATATATATATATATATATATATATATATATATGTATATAAATATACATTGAACTCGCAAGCGAAATCGGTCTATAAAGGAGATATCTCCAACCACTTCCGCCGGACTCGCCGCCAGTCGTGCCAGGAAAGTACTTGCTTTTTCTCCTGATCCTGAAAGGCGTCGAACCCGCGAACTGTTAATTTTATTTTATTTGCCTTTTTTATTATTAGTCAACTTAGTATTTTTTTTTATAAGTATTTATATTAGTTCTTTTTATAAGTGGTATTATTAAATATCTCTTTAGAAGTACTTATATTAGTCTAGTTTTATAAGTAGTGCTATTAAATATTCTTAAAAAAATTGTTGTTATTATTTATTTGTTTATCAAATAATATAATAACGTGATAAGAGAGTGGCGACAAAACTCGTAATTAAATGTGGACAAAATTATATAATATATAAGCGTGTGTATCTATCAATATTGCTGGGATATTTTTCGTATTTGCCACGCTTGGCAGGAGGGTTGGCAACCACAGGAAGATGTTGCTGCATGTCTCTTGGCTTAGTATCTTTCTACGCCTCTTAAAAGACCAACGGCATGTTGGCAGTGACTACATGATATTATTATACACTTGAGACGTGGTTCTTTGCTACTAACCGTATAAACTTAAGGCCGCTCAACTAGTTGTAGGAGGCCTAAGAGTTTATCTCTGTGATAGAATCCACGGCAAGGATATCTGTAGAAGATTTAAAGATAAAATCAGAGAACCAGTGAGCTGAAGTGGCAATAGGACAACCGATGGGCAAGATTCTCTAGAGGTCGGAGGGGGAGAGTGGTATCTTAAGCAGCGACTAATTGAAACTGAAACATAAGATGGGTAGGAGAATCAAGCTGATACCTACTTGAAATAATATATAACTGAGGTTGCCAACCTGCATGGCATGTGTGGCAAATATAAAACGTTAATTACTTCATGGGGGGGGGGGGAATAAATTGCTTTATAAGTAAATTTATGACGGAGATGTTTGTTCAGCAGTAGACTTCTAGGTACATCCAATTCCCTGCTGAGAAGGATGTTCATTAACATCTCAATCTGCTTCGTGACAATGGGAGCTGCAAAGTACTCGAAACGTCGGGAAATAAAATAAGCTATATTAAACGCTATAAAATGTTCTAATCCGTAAAATATTCGAATATAAAATATTGCAATGAACGTTTTGTTCATTGTGTAGTTTATTAAAATATTCTTGCATTTATGTAAATATAACAGACTATCTATCCATTCATCTATTTATTACAGCATATATAAGTCAACTGCTGACCATAGGCCTCCTACGTAGATTGCCTTATAAGGGGATTTTTTTTTTATATTAAATGAGCTTGTGGTACATCAAATTTTTTTTAAGGATAGGTTGACAAGCGAGCACACAGTGCACCTGATGGTAAATGAATGCTGTAATCCATAGACATCTACATCTATCTATCCTTAATAAAGAATTGAAATGCAGATGAGTTTTCACCCGTGAGGACTAAGATGGAATGCCTCTTTTCCTGTAAAAAGGGTCTCCGGTTCTCTGTACTCACCGCGTGATTCTTCCGTGGTCGAGCCGACCCATTTGTGCTACAACTTTACTACTAATATAGCTGCAGCATGGCTCTACCACGTTTAAATTACCACTTTATATGGCAAGTGTCGACCGCCACGCATGAACAATAGCAATAGCAGGGGAATTGCAGGTGAGTTTCAGGACTTTATTTGGATTTTCTTGTATATGCCACGCCTGGCAGGTGGGTTGGCAAACGTAGTTTTTACTATTTTGAGTTGTTATCACGACGATGCTGCTGCCCATCTACGTGTTCTGTTTCCCTCTGTCGCCTCTTACGACACCCACGGGACTATACGGGGTAGTGGATATTTCTTTACCGCTACTATAAGGTAATAAATTTTATATGATACAGAATTAGCCTAATCGTCCATTTTTGTATTTATAATTGTACTTGAAATGGTATTTTTAGAACAATTATAAATCCAACTAAGTTCAAAATGCTTGTTCTACGTGTGGTTCACGACTACAGTCGAAAGGCGGATTTGAACCCACGACTCTTTAGTTTCGTAGTCCGTATCTTTAATCATTGGTCTACTGTCGCTTTGAAAAATAATAATGTGCTCCAGATCGAATTTTGGCCACGGTAGCCAATATCTGGAGACTAGACATCTGCGCAGGACTGGATTATAGTGCCCGAGTGTATGCGCAAGCACAGGTACGCTCGCTATTCTCGAACTCTCATATTCTGATGAGACGGAAAACCAAAACAACTGGAGAGAGATTAGACACGTGATCAACGGCTTTACGTGCTTTCCGAGGCACTGGGGTGAAACTCCGCCAACTTCCTAACTCCTTTCTGCTACTGAGGATTTTTTGACTGAAAAAACCAATAACTGTTTTTGAGTCAACTTGGGAAACGAACATGGGACCTTATGACCAGCAACCGCGTTTACGATCACTAGAACAAGAAGGCAGTCAAAATATTGGCAAAAATATTGACTATTGACTAATTAGATATAAATAAATATAGTCATTTAAAAAAATAACAAAGATATAATAAGAAATCTATGCGTTATAATTAGTCAGTTTGCTAAAGTTTGTGATAAGAGAAACGAGCGACAGGCTTCTGTGCCGCCATAAATACTGGAAATGCAATAAAAATCTAAGCACGTTGTTTCGTGTTCAGATTTAAAATGGAGAGGTTTAACCCTCGGCGTGCCTGGTGGAAAAAAGTTACATGGCGTGCCTGGTGGGTCTGTGAGACCCAAATTTTAAATATTTTTTTTCTCCTACAAATTGATATCAATGTAGTATATTTTTTGATTTTATAATAAAATTAAACATGTTTTTTAGGATTTCAAATAAAATACGTGTTCAAATTAATAATATTTTTAATAGAATTTTTAATTAAACTTTTACCTCGTTTTTAACGTATAATTAAACATCTTATTTTCATAAACATACAAAATCAACTAAAACAAAAGAAATCACAATCAGACTTTGGGGATCATAAGGCACATAAGGTTATCTTATATTCTAAGCTAAAATAATTAGTCTTCATCATTTTCAGGAACATTGCCTTTGAAGCAATTTCCGTACTGGAATATTGCATGATCTAGGCACACGTGGCTTTTGCACGTCTCACAGATGTATTGAGTTTTACGGTCTTTCTTTGATGTACAAACGTAACATCTACGCCTTACACCTGGAGCTGTTTTTTTCACCGGTGGACCTTCGTCGAGACCAATACGGTCAGCAATTCGTTTGCGGAGATCTGTGGAAAGGCGAGTATTTTTCTGTCTTGTTTTTAGATGAGATACTATCAATGCGATACCCAGATCTTTGATAAAATTTCGGCGATTGTTTTTGATATCAGGGAAGTTCAGCATTTGAATAATTTTTGCATTTATATCTGCAGAGTTCAGCAACCAGAAAAAACAGAGTGAGCGGCCATCTTCTGGAGTTTCTTGATACATCATAAGATCTAATAAGCTTGTCAACGTTGTCAACACCACTTTTCGTTTTGTTATAGAATGTAATAACTGCTGGTTTTTGCTTCTCGCCTGATTGCAGGTCGATTTCCACATCATGATGGAGAGATGACAGCAGGAACACTTTTTTTCTAGGTTTTGGGACGTATGATACTAAAGTCATATCTTTTTGAAATCCGAACTGTGATGAATACATTATTGAATTTGTTTTGAATTTTTCAGGTATGCAAGTTTTATTTGATTTCATTGTACCGACAGCGGTTAGCTTATGATGATTTAGCAAGTGTTCATATGTTGGATAGCTCGTAAACCAGTTGTCCATCGTGATATTTCTCCCTGACTGAGAAACTGGCGCGACGAGGCGATCGACTACATCGTGAGGCTTATTGCTGACCTTATAAGGTCCCTCTGGTTGCTCGCCTAAATAAATCTCCAAATTCAGAGAGTAGAATGTTTTGGCATCTACGAGCGCAAATATCTTTATTCCATATTTACCTGGTTTATTTGGCAAATATTGGCGAAATTTGCAGCGACCACGGAAAGCTACAAGCTCTTCATCTAGAGTCAAATTTTCAAAGGGCGTGTAGTGTTGTTGGCATCTGCTAACGAATTCTTCGAACAGTTTCCTGAACGGGGCTAGTCTGTCCTGTGACAGTCTTTCTTGACGTGTATCAACATCATCAAATCGCAAATGATTGAAAATAAAAATGAATCTTCTCAAGCTCATTGTCATAGCAAAAATAGGAATACCAGTTCCATCATTACACCACAAGTCTTGTAAATTCTGCCTTGCAGATTTATATAATCCCGCAAGGTAAACTAGACCAATGACAGCCTTCAGCTCATCCATACAAACTTCTGCATAAGCGTAGTCATTTGAAGTGTTCAGACCAAGTCTCGTTCTTCGGATTCTCACATTTGTATGAATTAGTATATCCAGCAACATAGACTCGCCCACAAAAAGATTGAAACATTCTAAAGGAGTTTTTGCATCTCTCGCTAATATTTTGACACCCGGTGTTCCAGATACTATATTTTCACTACGTGTTCGAACGTTTGATCTAGCTGGAAGTTTGTACCACAAAGTTCCGTCTTTACCTTTGTAAGTTCTTCCTGAGGGCCGCGAAGTTAACTCTGACAGTGGCACGTCTATTTCAGAATCTGAAGAGTTCTCATCATCAACTATTTTGAAGAGGTCTTCCTCCGAATCGATCGAGTCGGTTTCATAAGTTTCTTCTGTAACCTCATCAGACTCTTCGTCGCTGGAGTCGAATACAATATCATCTTCGGGATCTTCGTCCACCTCTTCGAGTAGCAAACTAACGATTTCCCTGTCCTGTAAGGACCTCTCCATTTTGAACTGTAAAGAATATGATACTATAAAGTTGAATTCCAAACAAAATAAAGAATTTTATGAATAAAATACATCAAATTCGTAAAAAGACAAATTAAAACAATAATAATCTCGAGTATTATATATAAAATATGTTACTATTTAAAATAATATGTTTATTTTTAACAAATTAACGACACAAAACCACTAATAGCAACAAATGAATTCTTACATGAAAACGTCACGCCGTATGCCTGGTGGGGTCTGCGAGACCCGAGCGCACTTTAGACACGTCCTTTCACTACTGGAGCACGCCCCGGACTGAGGTAGCGGGCGGAGGGCGTCAATTAGTTCACTATAGTCAGCTACTGAGAGCAGTTGCGAGCGAATTTTAAATTACAATGAATTATAACGGTTTAACGGCTGCGGTGGGTCTCACAGACCCAACCAGGCATGCCGAGGGTTAATCAAACCCATTCTAATTGGAAAATTTCGCAACCACAATTCATTTCGACTCTTAGTAGAAGGAATTGCATCGAATTCACTGGCACTTTAAGCTAGGTAAGCAAGCATGTTCACTTATATATATATATATATTAATTATATTAATGCACTTACTGCCGTGCGTTAATTTATCAGTCCATTTCGTTTCGTTGGAGTCTTGACAGGCGACTATGAGAAATGCAAAAAATCTTTTCTATCTTTTTTACGTGGCAAAGCTATGCTGCAGCTATATTAGTAGTATAGTTGTAGTACGAATGGGTCGGCTCGCCCTGGAAAGGACCACGCTCTCACAGAAAACCAGCGTAAAATAGCAGCTTAACGCTGCTGTGTTTCGTATGGTAAGTGTAGAAAACCGGAGACCCTTTTTACTGGCAAAGAAGCATTCCATCTTAGTCCTCACGGGTGACAACGCATCTGCATCTTGAGTCTTTATTGAGGATAGATGTAGATGTCTATTGGCTACAGCAACCACTTATCATCAGGTGGACTGTGTGCTCGTTTGTCACCCTATACTATAAAAAAAACAATCTTATGGCTTCCGAAAAATGGCAATGTTACATACTACACAACGTTGCCAATCATACATTCATTTATTACAGCATATAGGCCTCCTCATACAATGGCATAATTTTTTATTTTCTAGTTTTTTATAAGCAAGACCCTGCTGTCTGTCTCCTGCTTTATTTGCCTCCGTCACCTCTTAGACACTAACGGATTATGGGTGGACATACACAACCATTATACGGTAAAACTTACGATACAAGTCTTAAAAAACAGACTGTAAGGCTCCCATGAAATTGGTAAGAGGGGATAAGACATTTTTGTTGTCGTTAGATATATCTACGAGCTGCAGTAGACGCCAGTTGGGACTGTCCACTGTAAACTGATACTGTCGTCTGTTCAGTTTAGTATTTTATAATTATTTTTTGGCATTAGATAAGCCAGGAATGTGAAAATGACTGAACATTTTTAAATTTTAACATTTTTAAAAACATTTAAAGATCTTGGAGATAAAAAAGCGTTTTGTGTTATACTGTAGTGAATGGGTATTTAATAAAATCACAGTAATCCTCAGCGCCAGAGATAAAAGCAATCGTACAATTTCAAACGGCTTTAAACGGAAAAATATTTATAAACGAACATTGTTCACTACTGAGGCCAAAGAGAAATTTAAATTCAGTGTTAACTACAAAACATCATCGTCTAAATATTTGGCCGTTCTTTTTGTAGCTACAGAAATAATGATCAGTTATTTAACACTTTTAAAAATATTTTTTTTAATTATCTCGCAAAAAAATAATAATAGTGAATTAATTTATGTGGACTAAAAAACAAATTTCTTGATTTTGAGAACTGAAATTATTGTCCACTTTTACATCCAAATTTATTCAGGGCAGCATCACCACCAGATGAGTATTTAGTCAAATTCTAGCCTAAAAATATTTTGTGAAGACTTTCGTAAAAGAGTAATGCAAAGCAGGCAAATTTTGGATTATAACAGTAGTTATAAAAACCCTACTGCGTATAAAAGTTTAGTAAAAAGAGTAAAGCTTCATATCCTATCTCACTTCTACATCTAACCCCGGTCACTCACATGCGTGTAAACATTCGTACATTGTTTACGGGCATGTAAAGGGCCGTCAGACTTTGAGTTCGCATACTCAATTTGCGAACCCGTTTGCACTTCCTTCTACACTTGTTTATGGGATCTCTTTAGAGTATCCCATATGATCGATGAAACTATGAAAGTATCGAAACGTCCGTTAACTTCACAATCGTGTGCGCAACTGGTCGCACGAATGTGTACGGAGACTACGCGAAGGACGGAGGTTCACGCGCTTTGATGTCCGTTAAAAAACCGGCACAGCTTGGAAACCCGCAAATGCAGCGAAAACTTTACATAATCATTTGCAAATGTCGTCCTACTTTGCGTATTCGTGTGAATGTGGGTGACCGATTTAGGATGCTAATGATATCCTATATGTTATCCATCAAGCTATTTAGACTATACAGCTTGCAAAAAAATAGACATACACACATAAATATAGACATACACTCGAATAACATTACTCTCCTTCTGAGACAGACGGGTAAAGACGAGACGCAAATAGTTGATATGTAAATGAATTCGTTTATTTACATTGAATTTGCATAAGTATTATTGTTGCGTTTTCGAGTTAATTTTAGCGTTGCAATTGTTTCCGTTAGAACTGCTTCATGTTGATTATATTATGTATGTATTATACACTCATATTTTGTAATTACAAATAAAAATAAGTGCTCTCAGCGTCTGTTTCTAATCACATTTAGATAGAAAAAACTTAAAATAAATAATTATAACTTATCTCGGAAAAAGGATAATAATAAGTCACTCATTTATTATACAAGTTACTGAACTTTCATTGGTTTTGTGAGCCGTTGAAGTAAGCAAGAGAATACTAGTGAGAAATATGTAGTGACGTAGATACTGTATTAATAGTGACAGATGGAACGGGAGCGTCTTACAAATGGAGTGCGTACGTTATTTACTTGTGTAGTATTTAATTGTACTGTGACAATAAAGTTAGGCTAGTTTTTGGATAAAAACAAACCTCGATAACACTGTGAAAGATAAATAATAAAAAAATCTGACAGTGTTATTATCACTAGTAACATCTGCTGCAACTGTACTTTTTTTGGTACTTACAAAATAGTGGTGTGACATGTGTACATCGCAAGTTATGGATGTTGGCATGTCAGTAATTGCCCTTAGAGCTAACATCTTGTTAAACGTTTAGTAATGTATCATTTTTTATAGGGTGATGAACGAGCGCACAGTCCACTTAATGAAAAGAAAAAAGACTCTACATTTATCCTCAATTAAAAATTAAATGTAGATACCTTGTCACTACTGAGATCTAAGATGGAACGCCTCGTTTCCAATAAAAATGGCCCCGGTTATATATACTCACCATGCGAAACAGCAGCATTAAGCTGCTATTTTACGATGGCATTAAATGAGAGTGTGGTCCTACCCCAGACGAGCCGACACATTTGTGATCCAACCATCAAAACTGCAGCGTCGCTCTACCACATATCAAATATTAATCACTTATGTTATTTATTGCAGCCTATCATAAGTCCTACCTGAAAAGGGATTAGATTGTCCTTTTTAGGTAAGTACAATTAATTAATTAACTGATTACCGCGAGTGAGGGAATAGAGAGTGCACCTGTGTTTACGCTTATACTCGGACACTATAAGACCGTCTTGTATAGATGGCTAGTGTCCGTTCAAACTGGCCACCGTGCCCGAAATTTGGCCTATAGGATACTATTATTACTAATCCTCATAAATCAATATAGTATAAGACCGGTTATTAAATTAACGTTTGCATGGATTATTAAAGTAACAGGATTATTTGAATATCTTTCTAGTTTCCAAACCATCGATCCACGATGAAATTAATACATTTTTTTGTTTATTTTGCTGTATTCCACAATATGGTGGATTGTAAAATGGGTGGACAAACAAAGTAGAGGACACGCGCGCACGCGCGCACGCACGCACTCACGCACGCACGCATGTACCCACGCACGCACGCACACACACACGCACGCACGCAGGCATGCACGCACGCAAGCACGCAAGCACTCACGCACGCACGCACGCATGCGCGCACGCACGCAAACATACACGCACGCACGCAGGCATGCACGCACGCACGCACGCAAGCACGCACGCACACACGCACGCACGCATACACGCACGTACGCACGCACGCTCGCACACACACACACACACACACACACACACACACACACACACACGCGCGCGCACAAAATCTCATCTAAATCTAACAAAATTGATGTGGTAGAGCCATGCTGCAGCAATATTAGTAGTATAGTTGTAACACGAATGGGTCGGCTCGACCGGGGAAGGAACACGCTCTCACAGAATACCAGGGTCAAAAAGCAGCATAACGCTGCTGTGTTTCGTATGGTGAGTGTAGAGAACCGGATACCCTTTTTACTGGAAATGAGGCATTCCATCTTAGTCCTCACTGGTGACAACGCATCTGCATTTTCATTTCTAATCAAGGATATATGTAGATGCCTATGGGCCGCAGCAACCACTTATCATCAGTTGAACTATGTGCCCGTTTCTCACCCTTATTCTATAAGAAAAATCGGTCTAGCCGTTTAGGAGGAGTTCAGTATCATAGAGACGAACAGTAGAATTATATAATATAAATATAAAGATATTTAGAATATATTATAGAATTAATGAGACCAATGCTCAACTCGGTTGGGAAGCGTTTGGGAAATTACGGCACATCTTCTCGTCTGATATACCTCAAAACTTTCATTGATGAGGAAGCTCAAGGTCGCTCAGCGAGATATGGAGAGGGCTATGCTCGGAGTTTCTTTGCGTGATAAACTTAGAAATGAAGATATCCGCAGTACAACCAGAGTGACCGATGGGAAAAAAGGTTTTCAAGTGGTGGCCTCGTACCGGCGGACGAAGTGTAGGGCGTC